GACTTAGTTACAATAAATCTTGGCGATTCTTTATTTTCTTTTTTAGGTAAATTTAGATTCTTTATTAGGTAAATAAATGAGAATAATCTAATCGAAATTCGTAACATTTTTTAAAAAAAAAAACGTTGCCCCCTTTTCTTCTGTGGATTTTCTTCTGTGTCGTGGGTGCGTTTACAAACATACAAGTTCACATACACATGACACCCAGACCCGAAACAACCATTTGTGGATCACACAAAGTGTTGTCCATGCGGGAATCGAACCCGCGACACGTTGCACAGCAGCTGGTTGTCCAGCCACCGCACCAACCGTGCAGTCATCTAATTATCTAAATCGGGACTAGTAGCCTAACGTGTCTTAATGCAATTTTTGTTGGAGTCTCAAGCTCTAAAATACTTATTAACATTAGCCACCACAATTTTAGTGAAGAGATTCTACAGAATCAACGAGCCTGAAATCATATTAAGTTATAAAGACCACAAGAACGAAATCATCTCCAATTCCAGGATACATAGGTTACCCGTAAAAAGGTTCCACGACGAAATTACAAACCAACAACGACCGCAAACCTTAGGGTCTATTAAGGACGCCATCTTGCTCTCCAGAAAATGACAGCTAAAAAAATTGTTCCCATAATTTAAACTGCGTTGGACATGGTACCGCGTCAACAGCAGGTGAAGCTACTCTTTTCTGTCAGATCTCTCTATAAGATTTTTACTTTATCGTTTTGGTATAAAGTTGAAATTTCGATAAAAAAATAACAGATTGGTGTATGATGACCTGCTGGTGCTCTGTACTTAGTCCATTATCCCCATTATCCCTCGATCTGTTTACCCCCAACCCCCTGTTGTTAAGGGCACTTTACGAATAACGTCGACAGCACCCCGGGGGCCATTTTATCCAATTACTTGATGAGCACATTCATTCGACGTCAAATACAATGTTTATTTTTAGATTGTCTGTTGGTATGTTGCTGTGGAAGTGTGAATGTTGGGATAGCTTCGGTATTTCTAATTGTAATTTGTAAAGAAGGTATTTTTCGTTGCAAGTCTTTTTGATTGAAAAAGGTCACTCAATAAAACTGATGACTTTTCTATTTTTAAGATAAGAATTATATACTGATTTCTACTCACCTGATGTTTTAAGATTCTTATTTTTGAGAGTCGATAGTATTTTGACGTTGCTAGAAAGACTTGGAAACTTATTATAATTAGAACTTTTACTGTAACATGAACATACGTTTGAGGAGATGCTTGCTAAGTAACAGTGTTCGTCGGTTTTTGGTTAATTTATGCTTGTTGCTCTCCATGGGGAGTTGAGAAATTATTATCTCTATATAATTCTACTTGATTTGATTTGAATATTAGACATCTAAAATTACTGAACTATTTTTGTCATGTTTTGTCAAAAAGCCAAAAAGTCGATATCAATGAAAATATATAAAGGCAACAAAGTCCTTTCATGGGAACTGGATAGACTTAGTCTAAGAGCTAACAGTACGATTTTGTAAAGGGTAGTAATAAAAGCTCCGACAAGAAAAGAAGAATTGTCCTTACTGAAAATATTAAATCTACTGCCTAAAATACTAACTTCCCGACTACTTTACATGACTGTTTATTGCTACAATACTAACCTAACCTAACCTAAAACGTCTGTTGTCGGAAACCTAGTAATTTTGTCGGAGGTTCAATATTCTATTCGGAAGTTTAGTTTTGTTATTCGAAGATCCATTTTTATAGTCGGCCACAGAGCGCTGGAGATTAATTTGTTTTTCGGAACCATTATTATTTTCCTTTTGTAAATAAACTATCAGCGAAATTAAGTAAGTTTCTTTAGTACTGTCTTAAACAGAAACTAACAAAAGACCATTCATATTATACAAAGACCATAAACTTCAAGAACAATAATAACTTGTACTTAACCATAAAACGGTATGACGTAATAGTTCAGTTAAGTGCTTAACTTGACATAAATTCGACGATACGTTAAATGCTCGTAAATTGTCAACGCTGTATGGCTTCTACTGGGAGTATTCCCCGCAACTTGTGTCTCTGGATTTCATGTGAGTACTTTATTGTATGTTGTGTGAGTCATAAGCTTTGTTGAAGTCTACTGTCGGAGTATGAGAGAAACCTCATTACTTTCTTGTTTTTCGGTTTATCGATGGTTTAGTAAGTGTAGGAGTTTAGAATTTAGTTGCATTGGTGGAATGGTGGCCCGGAGATTTAAGACGCTCGCTTCTCATGCATGACGGTGCAGGTGCAAAACCTACCAACTGCAAGTACCAATATGACGTTTTCCGAGTTATTTATGTACTTTCTAAGATTATCTATGACAAACGGTGTAGGAAAACATCATGAGGAAACCTGAGCTTATAATTCTAATTATAAGTTTGTAATCGCCAACCTGCATTGAGCAAGCGTGGTGATTAATGCTCAAACCTTCTCCGTGTGAGAAGAGGCTTTGCTTAGCAGTGGGCATTTATAGGCTGTTGATGATGATGATGATTGGTGGGGTGTTATTGCGAACTGTTTGTAAGAGTAAGTCTGTGAGGGTATATGTGCGTGTGTTTGAGACAGGAGATAATCCCAGTGTGGGGCAACTTTACTTTTTTTCTTCAAAAAGAAAAACCTTGGCCCACACTAGAATTTTCCCCTGTATCGTTGGTGCGTTTACAAACAATATAAGTTCACATACACATGACACCCAGACCCGGAACAACAATTTGTGGATCACACAAAGAGTTGTTCCGTGCGGGAATCGAATCCGCGACACGTTGCGTGACAGCCGGTTGCCCAGCCACCGCACCAACCGTGTCGTCAACAATTACAATAAGGAAAAAATACAAAATATTCTAAGTTTTAATTAACCACTGCATACTATCATCACAAATAGTCAATGCTCATTATGTCTTCATAATGTGTAAATACATTTACTTAAAGAACGTTCAATGTTTATTTTCAACAATCTTCTGCCCGCGACTTTATGCGCGCACTCCCGTTTTTTCCCGTTCTCGTGGGATAACAAATACAAAAACAAAAAATTACCCAAATCGGTCAAGCCGTTTTCAAGTTATAGCCTGACAACGGGAAACGGGTTTCATTTTTATATACAAGGTGTTGTTTTAAAGCCGCGTCATTTTCTAGGAGATAACTCGGATACCAAATCTGAGTGCGAATCAATAAAAAAAATTGTAGGTAAATATTTTTCATTTTTCAGAAATTACGGAAATCCGTAAGTGCGAACTACACGCCGCCGTCTTGTAACGCGCTTTATAACTCGGCTTAACACACACAAACTCAAACACGTAATTGGTATTATTCCTAATTCCATAAAACTCCAATAAGAAACATTGCTGTCGCTTATTCTGAAATACTGTCGAACTTAAACGATTTATTATAGCCGTATTTTTAACTATTGGCCCGAAATTTTCTCTTACATTGAACCTTTATGACTTCTATGACATGCCCCTGAGAAATGACACGGTTTCAAAACTACACTTTGTATATAGATAGCTTTTGTGTTGTTTTGCTTTTAAATTCTGTCTATTTAAGCTTCGTGTAATTTAGCGCTTCACTCTGCAACCTCAAATATAGTTAAAACTTAGACTAATTAGTATTTAGTTACCTAGAAACATTATATACCTACAACCCTTTAATATCCTTTAAAATTGAATTAAAATAAATATTTACTAACGAAAGTTTAAAATGTACGTTGTGTTTAATGTGTTTTTTTTTTTCATAATAATAATGTGTATTGTTATTTTATCTGTGGTGTCATTTTGTTTCCGAAAAAGAATCGGTCAAATCTCTTCAGGTGGTCTCTTTAATATATCGTAACGCAGTTCTTGAATAAAAACATGGACAGACTAAACTTGCAACTAGATGTATACAGGTGTAAACGGAATGGTGCTAAGCAGAATGCTCCCGAAAAATGCCCACAGGTGATGGTAAAAAACAACTAACATTTTCATAAGAATAAAGAATTAAATATTTCTTTTATGTAATAGTTGTAATCAACTACTCACGCCCGATTAAAATTGGGATGATGACGGAATATGAAAATTAAAAATCTATTTAATCCGTAAGTTAGGTAATAAAAAAATATTTATTTATTTATTTATTTAACACTTTATGTACAACTGTATACAATGGCGGACTTAATGCCGAATGGCATTCTCTACCAGCCAACCATAGGGTGATGCAGAGAAGTGTTACAGTAGGTTTCAAAAGAAGTAAAAAAATAAAAACGAGGGTGATAAATGTACGTACATATGTATAATGGTATCCTAGTACATAAACTACATACCAATACTACATACTAATATGAAACATAAATATAATATGTAAATAATTAAATATATATATAATATAAAAATAAATATATAATGGGTTTATATATTTCATATAATTATATATATAAAGTTTCTGAGGAGGGTGTTAATTGAGACTTGATTGTGTCAGTTTGTTCTGAAGATATTCTTTGACTTTAAATTTAAAGGATAGATAGACTGGAAGCCGTCCTGATATCCGTGGCAATATTAGACACATAATTTTTTATTTTGTTGTATAATAAAATAATACTTAGATAAAACGAATCAAAGTTTAGGAGCGGAGGCTAAAACGTCATTTCTACATATAAAATGTACATAGAAGTGACGTCACGCGACATTTCAAATAAATCAATATATCGTCGGAAGTATTCGTTTCTGTAAGAAGATAAAAAATAATTCTGACGGACATTAAAATAAAAATTAAGCATCTACCCTATCAGCGTTTGGGTGCGTTCCGTTTACACCTTGTATCATAAAGTCCTGTGAGATTGTTAATGTAATTTGAACTTTTTCGGAAACAATAAACAAAACATTTACAAATCACAACCCCCATACACTTCATACATTGATTTTTGTGTATTTTACCTCCGTTGAGAACCCTAATCACTATCAAATTCATGGAAAATAAACTATATTGCTTCATGATTAAAGTTCAATGTTGTTTCAGACGACGAATTCGGTGAGAAGTCAGTATCAGTTCTGCTGGATGGAGAAGAATCCGAGATGATTTTTATTGATCACCCTAGTACTGAGATGTCGGTGAGTTTAAAAGATATTCAAGGACAAATGGTGAAAATAGTGTTACGAAAGTCACATTCGACTTCGAGTCCCCAAATGGTCACCGGTGGACGCTCTAACTTACTCCATTATAGACCTTACTTCCAATGTTTAAAGACTACCTTTGTATGAACAAAAATGTGGATTTTCGTCATTGTAGATTTAGAAGTCAATTTCCATGCATTTTGTGGCATTCCCAGGGTATTTTTTTTTCATGTCCGGTGAGGACCTGCGTCAGGCGGTAGGTGAGAACGCCGTAGCGTCTCTCAAGCGACTCCTGAAAGAGAGGATTTACCGCTGCAATGGCAGCGAGCCCAATTTGTAGAATATACATTACCTATTCTGTTTGGTTGGTCACAAGCGTTGACAGCCCAGTAAGAGCCTTAGATTACTCCTAAGTCGAACAATTTATTATTGGAGTATTTTCGGTTATTTGAAAACTCCCTCCGTTGACTGACAATTTAAAATGAATCACAATCCTCACGGTCTATTTAAACTGTCAAACACCAAGCGGTCACCGGTGACCGTGACCTATTAAAACCGGTACTCGACGAGTTAATACATTGATATATCGTACCGAACATCCCCAAAATTTGTTCATCCAAAAGTAGTCTCTAAGCATCGGAAAATAGGTCCTTATTAGAGTTAGTAATCTGCCTATTAAAACTGATCATAATTGCATCGAGAAGCCTAATTAATGTATCATCACATTTCTTCCACCACAGGTAGAGAACTGCCTTTCTACATATGAACCCCATGCTTGCGTCGTCGTCTACTCCGTGGTGGCCAAGAGTTCATTCACCCGCGCCGCCGAGTTACTGGCGTACCTCGCCCGGGAACAGTTCACTGTGGAACGAACTGTTGTGCTTGTAGGGAACAAGGCCGATCTGGCTAGAGCTAGACAAGTTTCTACTAATGGTGAGTGGTATTGAATATTTTTTTTTTATAAAACGTTGCCCCACACTAGGATTATCTCCTGTGTCGTGGGTGCGTTTAGAAACATACAAGTTCACATACTCATTACACCCAGACCCGAAACAACAATTTGTTAATCACACAAAGTGTTGTTCCGTGCGGACCCGCGACACGTTGCACGGCAGCCGGTTGCCCAGCCACCGCACCAACCGTGCAGTCATATTGGTTAATCACACCTATTAGATCAGTATAATAAAAAACTTTTTGCTTAGCTTGACCGAAATGTGCAATGACCTGACGTGCACGGTTTTTCCGAACCTTAAGATTTAAAAAAAAGTTCTTACTGTATTTTGAAAGATCGGTAAGCACTAATATTGATGGTGTCTATACGGTATGCAGATTGCCGTTTGATTATTTGTCACCTATCACGTCATAAAAAACCGAAATTGTGATAGTGTCATATGCTTTCAATATGGAATTGGTCGTAGACAAGAAGAACAAGAAGTTAAACTTCTTGTTAATGGCATATTTTAGAACTGATCCTTAGTTTCTTAGGACATATTATGAGGTCTTATAGAAACATCAACATCATAAAGAAGATCCTTAGACTGTGTTAGAACTAAAAAAAATATTTGTATTACACTTTATTTGCTTTATTAACGGATCTTTCTTCCTCACAGAGGGTAAAGCACTGGCGACGTCAAGAGACTGCAAGTTCATAGAGACATCATCAGGGATCCAGCACAATGTGGACGAGCTACTGGTTGGTATCCTCAAGCAAATTCGACTGAAAGAGAGCAGGGATAAGAAACACGCCAAGAAAACTGGAAAACAGGTAATGGATTTAAGCAAAATTGGTCTCTATTTGTATGTGGTAGGTATGAATTTTCTATACGGCTTAAAATACAAAATATAATAAATTATAACGTTAATACTTAAGACAAGATTAAACTTGTCTTCAATATAACACGCTGAGAAAATTAATTTTGCTAAGCAAAGTATTTTTATGAAACGCGATTATAAGATTATTACTTTAAAATATAATTTGTGTTAAGAGTGATAAAGTTTAAACTCAGACTAAATCTGTCACTAAAATATAGTCTTGACATTTATTTAACATTGCTGCTCAATTGTTGTTATCTAAAACTGATCCTCCATTATTAAAGAATAAAGAGGCTGGCAATGAAGAGACAAATAATTCAGATGTTTGAATAGCAAATTGAGGCATTAGTAAGATACCTGAGCAATTTCAAGTTCAAATGATAAAATATGTATAACAATAAAACAAGGTAGAAGAAAAATTAATGAGACAATTTCCGAAGCTTGAACTTGATAAGAAACTCAATGTTCTGTAAAAAGGAAAGACAAAAAGAAGGGCAAATGTTACATGTCTGTATATTTGCGTAATTACAAACGAAGAAAAGATAAAAAGGTTTAAATGGAACAACCCAAGTTCGAGATCAAACGGAGGAATTCATGTTTCTCTTGAGAATTAAAGAATAATATTTTCGTTTGAAGAATTTTTCTTACAATTATATTTTGTTTTAGGATACGAAGCAGCCTAAACTAGCCAGTTCGCGCACACACATATCGCTCAGCATCGCAAGGGAACTACTGCAAAAGATCTGCATAAACGACATCTCTAAATCGAAGTCTTGCGAGAACTTGCACGTCCTGTAATCTTCTGTGCTCCTGGTACCTTATAAATGTTGTAGATGTTTTTTCTTAATGTTAATTGTATAGAGGATTCTTCCTTCTAATTTTACTATCTCGTGTTTTTAATCAATGTTCGACTGGTTATGAACTAAGGATGATTCTGTTGGGTATACGATAAGCGCTGTAGCTACCTGCTTTGTAACTGGAATTTTAATATAACCAATCTCTATGGAAGCTCGTCGGATGCAGATTCCAATTTACTGCAGAAAATTCCTTGAAAGACTTTCCCTTTGACATCCCATTTCATTTTTTTTACAAAATGATCCAGTAATTTCTATTCACTATAGTTAACTTTTGCAAATGCCGTATTGTGTCAAGAAAAAGCAGACGTTTTTCCTCTAAACCATTTACGTCACGTCGAATAATTTATGGCCGATGTTATAAAAAGAATATTCGTTTGAAAAGTGGGGAAAATCCGGAGACCCTTGGAAAGAGCGTTGATTTTCATACAAAATATTCTTATTTCGGAGGGAAAATGCCTAAATAATATTATATTCTCGGTCAATTTCATATCATATGGATTCAACAAACAATAGCTTGGCAATATCGCGATCGATTTTTGGTCATATGAAAGACATTCGAGAAATTCATATAAATCAGCGTCCAAATTTATTGTATTCCATCCATTCATTGTTGTAATAAGGTTTCGTTGTCTGGATTTGATGAATTCTTGAGCCCGTCTCTCTTTTAACATTTATAATGCTTATTAGAATCATCATTTGACAATATTATCAGTCTCTCACAGTTTGAATTTAAAAGTAAACTTAAGTACGTCAAAGTAATCTTTTGTTTCAGTTTGATAATCTGTCTATTTAATTGGATCGTTATTCATATAAATGGATGCGAAAATTAATTCGTAGAATTTCGTGAGAGACTTTTTTTGTTATTCCGAGATATGAATCAAAGAACTGCTTTCGTTTCAATGGGTTTTGTGATTTAATTGCATACAGTTTGTTAAAGATGTCCTTGTCATTAGTTATTATAATAATGAAGTACAATGCATTAAAAATCAATTAATGTTTTATTACATTTTATTACTTATCCAATGTTTAGTATTACGGGAATCCATATCTGTATCGTATTTATCTTCATTCACATTTCTATCCTAATTTCCCTTATCATTGTCAACTTCAAATCTATCAGTACAAATGCCAGCAGGACTTTTAAACTCTAAACTTGTTCTTGTTACTTAACTATAACGAGATAAGGGTGGTTTTGCCTTGACAAGGGATAAACGATCTTGGTCCCACTTAATGGAATAGATGACCTTGTCACCACTGAAAGGGAATATTAAGCGAAGCTAATTTAAGATAGGCATTCATTTAATTCTTCCTAAGATGAATAGAAAGTATTAAAGACTATTTTTAATACTAAAATCTTGGTGTGGTTAGAAGTAAAACTATTGTTTCTTTTTTATTCATAAAATTTTAATAATATTATGATGAAATTCAACATAGTTTGTTTATATCTTGAGTTTCAAGTTCTGTTACATTTTTGAACGGGCGCCACTGTAGATTTTGGCTTACAAAAGCTGCAATGGGGCGCGTCCAATGAACAAAGGTAGTTGAATTTAAGCGTCTAATTGATGGGGTGTTACTGATATATGACGGGATTTTACTTGTGTATTGATCGCTCAGTACTACTACGATTTAAACTAAAGTTAATAGTTGATTTCCAGTACTGCGCGATCTTTAGCAGATGATGACGTCATTCGATCACATTTAAAATTTTAATAAGAACAAAGTCGCCTCAGCGCTTTTCTATCAAGATAAAACATATTTTCGTATTGCAACAAATCTAAAGAACCTTTTATAATAATAATAATAATTTTATAGAGTATTCAATGTTGTTCATAAATGTATCAAATATTGATAATATCGATAACATAATGAGAATTTTCCATTAGCATACTTGTTAAGTTTAGTGTTTGTATTCGACTCGTGTTTCAAGTAATTACTTAGAAGGTTCATGGTATCAGATGAACAGCTATGGCGTGGAGTGTCTGCTGAGGTATTTTATTTGCATTTCAACTTATTGATGATACAAAATTTTGCTGTTTGAAGGCATCTCCGTAGCTTTTCGAAAGATAGATCATAAAATTTATAAAAAAATATTAACTTTTACCCGAGCTTTACCCGCGTTGTCCTGTTTATCCCATGCGAGCATTTAATTGGGATAAAAAGTATCCTATCAACTAAATCAGCATATACCCTGCTTGTGTACCAAATTTCATCAAAATCCGTTCAGTAGTTTCAGCGTGCTTGACGGACAAACGTAAAAATAAAGTAACTTGCACATTCATAATACCAATGATGTTACATTATACAAATGGTTTCATTAGTATAAAACGAACAAAACAAATTTGTCTTGTATGTTTAAAGTGTTCTTATAATACAAATTTATAAATATTTGTAATCAATTAGTATTATTAACAAACTTCAAAAAAAGAGGAGGTTTTCAATTCGGCCGTATCCTCTCCCGCGGTTATACACACGGGTAAACGCGCGTTCTCGTACACACGGGTAAATATTTTAATAGAAAAGCGAATTAACTATTCTGTTCAATCAAATAAAGAACGGGTTGCAAACTTGAAAATATACGTCACAGAAAAAATATCCAATCGGTGCGCGTTTCTCGTACACCCGTGTGTACAATTACGCGATGGGCACTCAACTCTCTCGTACACCCGTGTGTACGAGAAACACGCGAGATATACGCGGTATATATGTTTTTTTTTTAAACCAATCAACTAACCACATTCAGACATCAATGATTAGGTATTGAATTCGAATAGCTTCGAAGTGATTGGCACTTGTTTAGGGAGTCTAGGTTATTAACTGCATCAACCAAGATTTATGTTTAGTCTATTGGTCGAATTTCATTTCGGTTAGCTGAGATTATTGGCCTAAATTGTATGTACGCTTTAATTGTTTCGTTTAGTAATCTTATGGACACAGTATTATTGTTATATCTACCAAAATCTACAACAAAAGTAATAACACATTATCACTACATAGTATAAAACTAAGGCGCTATCCGCCGTCTGTCTGTCCCTTTGTATGCTTAGATCTTTAAAACTACGCAACGGATTTTGATGCGGTTTTCTATACTAATATTATAAAGAGGAAAGATTTGTATTTTTGTATGTTTGTAATGAATAAACTCAAAAACTACTGAACCGATTGCAATAATTTTTTCACCATTCGAAAGCTGCATTATTCAGAAGTAACATAGGCTATATAATATCACGCTAGGTCCTATAGTTGTGGAGCAGTAACCAAAAATGTTTTAAAAACGGGGGAAAAGTATCGTTTCTGAGGCCTTCCGTGGCGTGCGCTGAGCATATAGTTAAAGTTATACAAAAATGTTCTATAGATGAATTGTTTATCTTAACATTATTTTTAAAAAAGTCCGCGAGAGCATATGTCTACCTTTTATAGTTTACCCATAACAATCGTTTTAATGAATGGTTCAATCCTTATAAAAGTTTGCTCTAGATAACTTTTGAATTGTTCAATCGGTTACCTTAAGACGCGACATCGACAACGGAGGGCAGGTCGCTAAAAAAAACTGAGAATAAATATAAATAAAACGTAAAACTATGTAAAAAATCTTAAGTCCTCCCGTGCGAACCCGGGACGGGCCGCTATCTTTAATAGATAGAGTGATTCTTATATATCTACTTCGATAGTATAATGCACCCGTGCGAAGCCGGGGTGGGTCGCTAGTTATTTTATAAAGTACCTACCTTTACAAAAGCCGACTTCATTCCCTCTTTTTTGAAGTCGGTAAATTGATATAACATAACATAACATCACGCCTTTTATCCCCGTAGGGGTAGGCAGAAGTGCACACAGAGGTAACACCCACTTTTCACTATTTATGTTATTTATTTATTTATTTATTTATTGAATTAGGGTCTCCAACAAGGAATACACTTAGCACACACGAGTAGCATTACAAAAATTAAAAGCTATGTGCTTCCTCAATTATAGGAGGCCACAACATGCAAAAATCATAAAAATATACATAAAACTGGCAATACAAATTAAAAGTTAAAATAAATTAAATTAAAAGCTAAGAATAAAACAACTGTGACTAAAAACAATACAAAATGTCAAAAATATGGCATACGTCAAATAATACAAAATCAGACAAAACAATCAAATGTCGGAAATAATCAATTGAACATGGTCAAGTTTAAAATAATAATACTAAATAATCAAAACAATAATAATAAAAATCAATTAATTAATTAAATAATCAATAATCAATAATCATATTTCAAAAAAAATCTAATAAAATAAGAGAAATAAGAGAAGTGAGACAATCAAATGTACATTCATGGTTGTTTGTTTATGGTGGATGCGTCAACATTCAGGACTCCAAACTACGCGCAACAACATTCCTAAACTTACGAAAAGTGTTGTGGAAGATATCGATATCATCACACGTTTCCGAAATACTGTTATACTGCAAAGTAAGTCTAGCAATTGGTGAATGTTTACCTAAGTTAGTCCGAACTCTCGGCGTATGCAGTAATGGCTTGGCCCTGCGTGGGATCCTGCTAGGCACGTGAAATTTAACTTTGCTTAAAAGTTCCGGACAGTCAATACGGTTATTCAGCAGTTTATAGAGGAAAAGCAGATCTGAGATGGTACGACGTGACTCAAGAGTCATAAGTTTAAAGTGCTTGAGTCTTTTTTTATATGACTTCAAGGTGTACTTAACCTTAAACCGGTATGCCAAATGATTGATAAATCTCTTTTGTACGTATTCGATTCTGTCTATGTGAACGCGATACATGGGATTCCAAGCTGTACTACAGTACTCTAGTCGGCTCTTTACGTAACTATTGTAAAGCAGTATCATAGTTTCGGGTTTCTTGAACTCTTTAGACGAACGCAGGACAAATCCAAGAGCCCGATAAGCAGCGGAAATCATTGTGTCAATATGTTGGTTGAAACATAGTTGACTATCCAGTTGAACGCCCAAATCCCGGATAACAGTAAGCTCCGTCAATTTATTGCCCTGAATGGTGTAGAAAGACTGAAATATATTTTTCTTACGTGTAAATTTTATGTGGTAGCACTTGGCGCAGTTGAGTTGCATTTTATTCGTATGACACCATCCGCTCAAACTGTCAATATCTTTTTGTAGCAGCATGATATCATTTTCGCCTTGAATCACTCGGATCAACTTTAAATCGTCAGCAAAGAGATAGGGCGTGGAGAAACTAAAAATGTCGGATATATCGTTAATAAAGATATTAAAAAAAAGAGGCCCCAGATTAGATCCTTGTGGTACACCAGATGTAGCATAGAATGAAGTGGACTCATCACCACCCAAAACAACTGAGGATGACCTAGAATCAAGGTAAGATTTACACCAATCCAACATAGTATTTGTGATGCCTAGGATCTGCAATTTTCCAATCAGTACCCCATGATTAACCCTATCGAAAGCCTTAGAAAAGTCAGTATATATTGCATCTACTTGCATACCTTGATCAACAGCCGTGGATAAATCAGATATGTAACTGACTAGATTAGTGTTAGTTGATTTTCTATTGATGAAGCCATGCTGGTTCCCAGATAAATACTTTTTTACGTGATCATAAAAAATCGGGTACACAAGTTTCTCAAAGACCTTAGACAGAGTCGAGAGAATCGAAATAGGGCGATAGTTAGAGGCAATCTCCTTCCGGCCACTTTTAAATATGGGAACTATCCTAGCATGTTTCCATCTGTCAGGGAACGAACCAGTTTCCAGAGAAGTATTGTAGATAGAAGATATAGGAAACGACAGACAATGCGCACAACGCAACCAGAAAACTGGAGGTATACCATCAGGTCCAGAACCCTTTGTTAAGTCAAGCGCGGACAA